GTAATGTAGGGTGAGAGGGAGGCGAATCTCAGGGTGGGCCCTGGAGGATGTCGGGAGAAATTGATCAGAAACAAATGAAGGGTGAAATTGTTAGCTTAATTCTGCCATTGGTGCTGAATGAAGAGTAAAAAAAAGTATATAAATACCGTACTTAGTGGAAAGGAAATTTTATTTTTTGACATCAGCATTTGAAGACTGTGTTACTGATGCGAACAAATATGTCACGTGCCTTTAATTGTGAGTTGAGAAATCTGGTAGAAATATGTTTACCTTTGAGAGGCCTTGCCTTATCTCATCTTCTCTTTTTCCTGTGTGGAATTTCTGTTTGTTAACTCATCTTGATGGAAAATTTGGTTGCCTGACTGTAAATGAATGGTGTTTGAAGAGCTCGTGTCACTTGTTCTCCATGTCTTCCATCCTGCGTGGTCACTCCTTCCAGTTCAGCAACACTGAGAAGAGACCTCTCATACCCAAGGCCAGGGAATGCTGCTCTACAGCAGAACCTCTCCAGGCCTCCTCCCAGGGGCTGGTGTTCACTTCTTAGCTTGCGTACGGGGATGCTTCTTTCAGTGTCATGCTTAGTGACTACTGGAAATAAGGGCAGGGAAACAGTCTTTTTGGCTACAGTGTACCTTTATGAAATGTCTGTGTATCCCATTTCTCGCTTTTTATGTGTGTCTTATGCATTATAAATTCAGATCTTGTCTATCCCAGAAGCCTTTGTATCTGACTCTTTAGGCCTGTGACATCAGAGATAATAAGGAAGAGAAATGTAATTAACTGAGAGGGGAAATGATTTGCATTCATGTTATTTAAAATGCCTTTTTTTGTTTGTGTCAAGGACCCTTTTAATTCACATCTCCAGGAGAAAAGCTCTTGGGTGGGAAGGGAGTTGCTTAAGGGTTCAGAAGATTTGCATCCCACGTTCATGCGTTACTGAAGGAATCTTCCAGCATTAGAAGGGAAAATGAGAATTGGCAGTGCTGATTTGGAGAGAGGGGAAGAAGGCAAAGCAGATAAACCTGTACTAGGTAGTGTTCATATATAATGGAGAAGCTGTGGAAAACCCCTGACAATCTGCTTTCCCTTTGTACATCGCCTTGTTATTGACAATATCTCTTCAACTGATATACATTCCTTTCAGTTTTTGGAGGTGTGCTATGTTTGTCTTTTCTGGCTTTTAGAGGAAAAGGGGAGCCAGTGACTGAGCTGAGTTGGTCCTCCTGCCGGCAGCTTCTCTACCAGTCAATGGCCACCATCCTGGCTCACACAGGCTTTGAGTGTGCCAACGAGAGCGTCCTGGAGACCCTGACAGACATTGCCCATGAGTACTGCTTGAAGTTCACCAAACTGCTGCGCTTTGCTGTGGATCGAGAAGCTCGACTGGGGCACACCCCGTTCCCTGATGTCATGGAGCAGGTTTTCCATGAAGTGGGCATTGGCAGTGTGCTCTCGCTGCAGAAGTTCTGGCAACACCGCATTAAGGATTATCACAGCTATATGCTTCAGGTGAGAAGAGCAGTAGGGACCTGACAGCACCAATAAATGTACCCCAAGTACAGTTGCTTATTCCTGTAGCAAGTCCTGGGTCTTACTGAAGAAAAATCCAACTAGAAAACCTCTTGGATGTGGAGGGGAGTCAACAAGAAAAAGAGAAACAGGATTTTTTTGTCTGGAAGACAGAGCTCCTTATTTGTGTCTCTACTGAGTCTTTGTCTGGGTTTAAGAGGAGGCCCCCATCTGTTGAATGGCCCAGACAAAAATATCAAGTAGAGGTAAAATCAGGACTGACTGATTAACTGAATTTTCTGCTTTAATGGGATATTTGGCTGCTTACCATTTCAGAAAACAACTATGCAGATGGACAAAAATTACTTGGCTGTACAGTGGCTTGTGTTTGCTTAAGCAAGGGGTGACTTGCTTAAGCTTTAAGAGTATAGGGTAGTGTTGTGCTGGTCTGAGTTGTCACACAGGTGCTACCTTCCACTCTAGAGGGGCGTGTGCTTCTGCAGGGAAAGAAGAGGAATTGTTAAATTCCTTGGAGTAAGAGGTGCAGGTTGTAAGAATAAGGGTATGGTTTCTTTTGGTCCGGGTATTCTGTGAGGTTAAACACACGCATTTTATTGGAATGATGTAAGACTGTCTGCCTGTTTTGGACTTACAGAAATGCAAGGATTTGAAGTGGGAATTTTACTCCTACTTGTCAAAAAACAAGACTTGAATCAAATAGGTAGCCTGTGACCAGAGGCAAAACCTGCCATCCCTTCCTCCTTGTCACATTATCTGAGTGCCAGTTGACTCATCTTGGAGCAGCTACCTTGTGCTCCTTCTTTTCCCAGGGTTGGCACCGTGTGGCTTACAGAGGCAGTATAAATTTTATACAGAGACACCTGTAAGTGCATGTAGTATGTAAATTGTGATGGACTGTGAGGGTTGTGCATAAAAATAACATGATCAAGATCTGTCTTCACTAAAACCATTTTTGTTCAAAAAGCCAGCTCATTTTTGTTCAAATGTTTTTGTTCAGATGTCTCCTTTTGGAATTTGGGTTTTCAGCACCATTCTGCTGATGCAGTTCACTCTCATCCTGCAGCTGGTCACTCTTTTATTTGTTCTGTTTGTCATACAGGGCTGAGGTCCACAGTAGCCTCTATATTTGGAAATATATCTAGAAGGGGCAAATAGGCTTTGTTATTCTTTTTCCTTCTTGCTTCTGCTGTTAAAAAGCCTTGTGCTTTTCCTGAGCACGGTTCACTGACTGTTGGGATTCAGTGGTATAAACAAGCATTAGTTAGAAGCAGATGCAATCTGAAAATTTTAATTTAATTGCTTACAATTGTTAAGTTTCTAGAAGTACAGGGTAGTTCTAAATCTCATTCCTATATTTGTTTTTCTTCTCTAACTGGAGAAAACTTCTGTGGTTTTTGCCGTGAATCGGACAGCAGGTACCCAAGCTTTTCCCAGTGAAGATTACAGAGCTGATGAATATCTGAGCTGCTTGTTTTTTAAGGCTGGAATAAAGTTGTCACTGGCAGATAGGGGATAGTCCCATAGGTAAACCCAAAAAGTAAGACTGAGACACTTTGCTTTTGTTTCATGCTCTGTTTAAATTTCTGGGCCTCATCATCACTGTCTGTGAAATAAAGGTACTCGTATTTATCAAGCAGATGTGTTAATGGATTAAACCTCTTATTGAAGTCCCTTGTTACAGGACAGAAGGTGTTTTAAAGGGGGGAAAAAATCTTTCCTGTGTAGCTGATAACCTATTTACTTGTTCGTTCAGGTCAGATGTTAATAATATTCTGGGAACAGAGCGCACTGCAATGTAATTGCCATCAGAGTCTCTGAAGTCACTCTGACCTTTCTGGCCTCTTTTTCACCCCCACTGATCTTTGACAGGTTAGCAAGCAGCTCTCTGAAGAGTATGAGAAGATTGTCAACCCTGAAAAAGCAGCAGAAGACACAAAGCCTGTGAAGATTAAGGAGGAACCTGTTAGTGATATTACTTTTCCTATAAGTGAGGAGCTTGAGGGAGATCTGGCTTCTGGTGACCAGTCTTTGCCTGTTGGAGTCCTTGGAGCTCAAAGTGAGCGCTTCTCTGCCAACTTGGAAGTAGAAGCTTCACCACAGACTTCAGGTAGGGATTTCTTGCTACTGCTGGAAACAGTCTCTCAGCTGTTTCATGTGATCTTGTTTCCATTTTTAATAGCAGATCCCAATGTGAGGAAGGAGAGGGGGAAACGTTTTTAGGTTTTAATAAAAAGATTTGGATGGGAAAGAAACCCTTGCTTGCCTTCTAAATACAAACCCGAAGAATCAAAGGTATCAGTTACGAGAGTTTGTTAAATATTTACTCCATTTGTGGACCCTGTAGAAGACAAAATGCTTTATATGGTGTTTATTTTTGGGGGATCATTAAAGTTTTTGGCCTTGTTATTGGTGTGAGGTAGACTGTTTTTCAACAGTGATGGCCCAAGGGCTTTATTGTTGTTTTGTGAACTAGAGTATTTGCTGCAGATGTAAGTACCATCGTTTTTTTTTCCAGTCTGATGTAACAAAGAGAAAAATAACTTTTGCGTTTATATATATGTATATATTTTAGTTTAAAAGAGGCTAGAGTTTTATCCTTATTGCTGGTAAGGAGAGTAGCAGATATATTTTTTTTCCAAGCAGCTTTAGATTCTTATCCAGAGATTTGTGTTACTGAAAAGTTGAAGGTTATGGTCCTTCTGACTGGAGTAAATTTAAGACCCTGGATAGTTTAGGCACTGAACGAATTACGGAAATACTAATGATACGTGCTGCAGTCCTCCATAGTCAGAAGTCACCGTGGTAGTGACAATCATTGTTTTATGAAAACTTATCAGTAACTTATGTGAAATGGGCTTGTGGGAGTCTCTCCTATTCTAGCATCTCTACCCCAAAGCCTACTGTATTAGCTGAGGCCATGGAAAGTGAAATGATGAGTGAAGTAGTGGGATTATGGAGACTGCACTCTTTTCCTCAAAGTGTCATCCCTTGATGTTGGCATTGAAGCACGCTGGTGGTCAGCATGGGAGAATCTGCTACTGCTGTGCCTTTTCTGTATCAATATACAAGTTTTATTCTCTGCACTGTTTAGTAGTGCTAAATTTTCTGGAAAATGGAGAAGACGTTCTTCTCCCAAGGAAAGTCAGTTTTGATCTTTGTATAGAACCTTCGCAACTCCAGAAATCCCTGCAGTAATAACTGTTTTACTTAAAAATCTGGTTAAAAATGAAGCCTGTCCTCTTAAACTAAATAGCATATATAGTGAGGTTACAGTATGCCTCTTAGTCCATTATGTTTGTTGTTTTTTTTTTTAAATAGCACATTCTGCTGAATTTTTAAAAAGCACAAATCCATCTGATGTTTTTCTGGAAGCTCATATTGTTTTCCATAGTACCTCTGAAATGTGAAGTCCTCGCATTTTTGTGGGAGAGGGAACAGCAGACTCCTCTGGCCCATCTGGGGCTGGGAGTGATTCATCTGGAAAGCTTTGTATTAGCATCTACCACTTGAGACCCAGAGGTTAGCATGCTAGCTGTATATTAAATGCCTCTTGCCTCTCTGATACCAAATTGATGTTTTCTAATTAAGAATACAAGTGCTCTGTTCCTCCCTGAAAATCCCTCTTCACTTCACAAAGGCCTTTGGAAATCTCATCACTGTGAGAAGTCCCAGTCTAGAGCTGGGTAGGCTGGAAAGCGTAGTATCACAAGGAGCGAGAGAAAGCTGCCTCAATTAGGACACCACCATCTCGAAAATACAAGTGTGAGGCCCGGAGAGAGGGCAGCAAGACTTGAGTGTCTGAGGGCAAAACTCTTGTTCAGCCTTCCGTGTTGTGCAGGTGTTTCTGCTTATGCCTGACGTTGGGGTTGTGGGCTAGCTGCTTAATTTCATGGCAGTTGGGGAAATGGAGGCAAAATTGGGGACCTTGTTCCTCCACCCAGCAGGATAACCTGAGGATTAGCTCATTTGTAAAGTACTTTGAAGTTAAAGTGCTTTGAAGATGAAATGTCCTGTGTTGATGCTTAAGTACTTTTAGTCATTAGTGACACTCTCAATGGCAGGTGATAGGGCTGAAAGGAATAAAGCTGAGCAATGGAGAGCAATTGATGAAAGAAAGACACAGTAAGCTTAGTGAGCACCTTTGATTATTTCGTAGACTGGAGCTGCAACTCTGTGGAACTGATAGCATTTTAATGATGTGTCCATTGTTGTTTAGAGGAACACATTTACTTATAATTAACATAAAAAGGACTTTTAATTAAGTCAACTGGACACCAGCAAGCACTTTCTTTCTGGCTTGCTGTATAACTGCTGAGCTAATGTAGGCTGTGTTACCACAAAGGTCTCCTAAACCCTGGTTTGGGCTAAGCTGCTCTGGAAGAGATTCCTGTCTCCTTCATAAGGGAGAATTCGCAGCACAAACATGTGGTGGAAGATTTGGTCTCTGTGTAATTGCTTTAATAAGGGACTATTGTTAGTTGTATATTGTTAACAGGGAACAGTAGTAGGTTTGGCTCAGTACAAGAGATTTGGTTGTGCTTTCAAACTGTAGCCAAGCTCCTTGAGACACAAGGTTTGGAAAACCTACTAAAACTGGTTTCCTAGTTTTTTTTATTTTCCATGTGAATTTAACCCCACACAAGAGGGACCAGATTTAAAAGTGAGAAGATTTCAGGCTTTGTTCAGTTCTGGGCTGTTTATGCCCATCTCAGCAAGGGGCCCAATTAGTGTTTTTTTAATAGGATTTTTGTCTCTGTTAAAACTGTAAATAAGCAGAAGTAACGCAATCTATAATTACTGCTCTTGGGGAGAAAAACATTTGCTGTTATCAAGAAATACGGTTTTATAATCTTTTACAGAAAATCCTCAATCTGCTCAGATTGCACACTAGTCCAAAAGCTTAAAAAAAAAGCAGAGGGGGGGCGGGGAGGGGGATACTCGGATACTATTTCCCAGCAGGGTGTCTGCGAGGTTGAGCCAAGAGGGTTTCTTTCCATTCTGCTGAAAGATGGGATGAGACCTGTGGGTGTTGACTACAAGGAGGCAGGCAGTCCGGTGGCTGAGTGCAGCTCTGCCGTCCCTGCATTTCAGTGCTGGAAGTGGTATTTGAGACTGTTCGTCGAGCTAGTCCTCTGCCTTCTCACTTCACCTCCCCTGCAGAACTACCAGATGTCTAGTATGTCTCACAGCTCAAAGGAGGTTGCTGATGTTGCAAGGACCTCATCATCAAGAATGGCTTCTGGACTGCCTCGGAGTCCTGCTTATGCAGGGTCTAGTCCAGGTGCTGTTGGTGTCCTTATTGCTGCTGAGACACTCCTTCTGGAGAGTGGTGTGGGCTCTTTAAGTTGTTTCTCATGGAGAAAACCACATGGAGGATTGCTGTGAAAGGATAGTGTTGTATTTTTTAGAGTGGCAATTATTGGGCTGTTAAAAAAATTAAAAGCCAACAGATTTTTTTATTTATTGTTTCACACTGGTTGGTGTGTTTTGTTTCCCCTGCCCCAGCTTAGTTCACCTGTAGCATTTTTTTTGCTCCTTCTTTACCAGTGCTGCTGTTGCTTGCATATGCATGCTGTTTGTAATTTGTCTTTTTACTCAGTGCTTTTTCTTTCTGTAGGGGCTGAGGTGAATGCTTCCCCACTCTGGAACTTGGCACAGGTAAAAATGGAGCCACAGGAAAATGAGGAGGCCAATGTACATGGCCACGGGGTCCTAGGCAGCGATGTCTTTGAGGAACCGATGTCAGGCATGAGTGAAGCTGGGATGCCACAGAGCCCCAATGGCTCTGAGAGCAGCTACGGTTCTCATTCTGCTGACAGTCTGATGGGATCCTCACCTGTCTTCAACCAGCGCTGCAAGAAAAAGATGAAGAAGATGTGAAAAGAGAGAGCCTTTTTATTTAATCCTGGTGGTATGCAATAGACTTGAAACAAAGTAAGAGAACACTGAGATAGCTGTGATTCATAAATAGGGCTGGCCCTGGTGTGTGAGGGACCTTGCATAACATTATTATGAGACATTGGATGTGTAGTGCACTTCAGCTCCCCTCTTTGCTGGCTTCTGTATTGCATCCTGACTTACGAGTTTGAAGATCACCCTATACATTTGATGGTGTCATGGCTTGCTTTGGCAGATTAATGAGGAAGTTACCAGTGGAAAGTAGTCGTGAGGAGATTTGCTAAGTTGTAGAATCATTGAATGATTTGGGCTGAAGGGATGTCTTGAGGTTTCTAGTCTCTAGTCCAGCCCCCTGCTTGAAGCACAGCCAATTAGAGGAGGTTGCTCAGGGCCTTGTCCAGTTGAGTTTTGAATATCTCCAAAGACCGTGATGCCAAACCTCTTTGGGCAACTTTTCCCCGTATTTGACTACCCTCATAGTAAGAAAAAAATACATTCTTGCATCTAGTTGGAATTTCCCATGTTCCAACTTGTGTTCATTGCCTCTCATTCTACTACTGTTTATCTCTTAACAGTCTGACTCTGTCTTCTCTAACCTGCAGATTAAGTGGTTGTATACAATGAGATCTCTCTTTAGTCTTTGCTCTTCATAAGTCTGAAGAAACCAAGCTCCCTCAGCCTCTCCTTGTATGTCCAGTGTTCCAGCCCCCTAACCAGCTTTGTGGCCTTCCACTGAACTTGCTTCAGTGCCCTTCTTGTAAGAAGGATGCAGTCCTGCAGAGATGGTCTCACAAGTGCTGAATAGAGAGAAATAATAATTTCCCTCAAAGTGCTGACTACACTCTTGCTAGCTATTGTGGACAACATGACAGTCTTAAGTCAGCGCATTTCACTGGTTGGGGAGCTGTCGCTGCTGCTGCCGATCTCGCAAAGATGCTGTAGAGTGGCCTCACAGTGCCATCAGTTAGCTCCTTCAGTGCCTTCAGGTGCATCCTGTCTGGTTCCATGGACTTAAGTATGTCTAATTGGCTTGAGTTCTTGCTAACGCAGTCTTCCTCTGCTGTAGGTAAGAGTCTGCTAGGAGACCCAGGAACCTGGCAGGCCTGAAGGCAGACCTTACCAGTGAAAACAGGCAAAAAAGGTGTTGAGTAGATCAGTCTCAAAGTACAAAGTGCATCTTTTGTCACCAGGTTGCCTGCATTGTTGAGCAGTAAATCCACATTTTCTTTACCCTTTCTTTTGCTTCCAGTGTACCTAAAAAAGCCCTTTGCATTTCTTACCAGCGTCAACTCCCACTGAGCTTTGGCTTTCCTAACTGTCCCTGCACGCTTGGGCTATGTCTCTGTATCCCTGCTGGCCAACCCTTCCTCACTTCCACCTCTGCATACTTTCTTCTGTGTGTTTGAGCTCAGTCAGGCATTCCTTGATCATCTGTGCTGGCCTTCTGTCATACCTGCTTTACTTTCTGCTGGTCAGAAAGGACTGTTCTCCTACATTGAGAAAGTTGTCCTTGAAGATAAGGCAGCACTCTTGGGCCCCTTTGGGAGGCCAGGGCAGTCCCTTGTGAGATCCTGCCAAGGCACTCCTTGAATAAACCAAAATATGTTGTCCCAAATGTCCAGGGCTGTTTGTCTTGTGCACGTTTCTCAGGATTTTAAATGCCACAATTCCATGTCTGCAGCAGCCAAGACCTTCACATTCTCCACCAATTCTTCATGGTTAGTAACGAGTCCAGCAGAGCTTCTTCTCTAGTTGATTTCTTGATCATCTAGTCAGGGAAGTTGATGTGGTTTTCTGGAGAGAATGAAGCAGCTTTTACTATTGGTGTGAGTAAGTACTTGCCATGCAAACTTATCCTTTGCTCTTATTGGATTGAGTGCAGCGACGTCAGGCTGGCTGCAGTTTCCTATTTGAAGTTGTTATCTTGACAACTTAGTCTGAAACAGTCTATTTTGCTGCTTGCTTTTATGGCTCAGCTGACTGATGGCATTTTTTTTGTTCCCCACAATCCTCAGTTGATCAACTCAGTCTTTAACTTGATTCACTGAGTGTATCTCTCAAAAAAGCTAGAATGAACATGAATCAAGAATGAACAGCCACTTAAACTGGCTTTATACCTGTAGCGCATTGGGATGTTTGAGGGAGATTTACCAAACCTCCCATTTGTCCTTACAATTGCAAGTTTATCTTTTGAAAGAATGAGCTCCAGGCATAGTATTTTTGTTTCTGTATAACATGCCTAGCCTTAATTCTTTTTTCCTAACTGTATTTCTCTTCCGCTTTATAGAAGTGGAAGCTAAACATAAAATTCCTCAGTGTCTAATAAGAATGTGTGACCATAGGCTTTTTTTATGGACATTGGAGTTAAAATTGTTCATCACAGTTTTAAAGATTTCTCCTGGGGGGTAAATTCTAGCTATTTGAAGCCTAGTCAGTAATAGAACAGTGGACCAGTGTATCAAGAAATCTTTATTTTGATTCCCTCTGAGTCACCATTAGGCATGCTGCACTGCCCTGTTTTCTCAGCTGTAAAAAAGAGAATAGTAGTATTTGCCTCTTAGAAGTGTGTTTGAGATTTACTTACTGTTTTAAAAAGGCACTGTGATCCTTCAGAGAGTTTTGTGAGAGTTGTGAACTTTTCTTCCATTTGGGTAAGACTGTTGCTGGCTGGAGAATGCTTAGATGGACACTGAAATGTTACTGACCTATATGATACTTGTTTTAAGTAAAACTGCTTATGAAGAAATACAGCACAGTTGTGCTGTTCAACTGCCAAGGTACAAGGAGAGCATTTGGGGTGGTATCTTCTCACTCAGCTTTAAATGTCTGCAGCTAAATGTGTTCCTCTGGGCCCCATTTGCAGCTGAAGAGAAATAGTCATTCTTAGGTCACCGTTCATCTGGTCTTGAAGTAGAAGTGTGAAGCAGGTCAGATGAATGGCATTTTTAGAAATGTCTATTTTTCCTTTGTGTGCCCATAAAGTGAATTCAACTTGACTACCTCAGGTGAAGACATCCATATCATCAGTGTCTGCGTTAAGTGACCTGACTTTAGCCCTTCCTGTCTGGGAATCAGAGGAGATTTCCTCCTGCTGGGCTGGTGCTTTTTCTCTACACATTTTGTAGAGCTTCGCCTTTGAAATGGAAGTACAGGGTTTAAAGCAGACTGCCTATCTTACCTAAATCTTCGGTGTGTTCTCTATAACACACCGAATGTGCTAGGCTGGGGCCTCAAGGCTCGGCTTGCTTTGGCCCTCGTGTCTTTGACGCTGTGTGAGAGCACCTGTCATTGGGCCTTTCTCTGTAGGCGCTTTGCCAAACTGTTGTAGTGAAGTATTCTTGAGGCTGGGGCACCTGAATAAAGTCCCTTGCACTATTTTCAGGAGCTGGAGGACAGAGTGGCTGCTGCCAGCATCACTTGCTCATTTACAAGATTTCAAGTGGGCTGAAAATGAAAATCTGCTGTTCTCCAGGGCTTTGGTTAAACCTAAGCATCAATCTTAAGTGCTTTCTTTATATTGCTCATGAAAAGATATTCTGTCTTACTTTTAATTGTAGTTTTATAATTCACATCCCTTTTCCACACCCATTTCATCCTGGAACACACACTCTGCAACAAGCCAAGCCTGAGTGCTCCAAGTATGTTTAAATACAGTGAAAATTCACCCTACGTTGATTCAGCTGTGTCATTGCAGTGTAAGAGAGAGCTGTTATTGATTCTTTTTAGGACGCATGTTTATGCAGAGGTGAGAAATGCATCAGCATTGCTTGTACGTTTAAAAATGATGGCAGAGTAAAACCTGTACCTTCTGATCCCCCCGTTATGTTAAGTGTTGCTTCTGACATTCGTGTGCTTGACATTTCCTTTTATGTGTATGGAATCTTTACCTTCTGCGTGAGCCCTTCCTCTCTGAACATTTACCATCCTTAGATTTATGATGGTGTTCATCATGCATGAAACAGTAAAATTTCAAATCTAGCTCACAAAGTCAGATACAGACAATATGCTTTCTTGATGAATCAAATAAGATTTTTCTAGGTGTTAATGCAGCCTTGGGCAACTAGTGAGGAGTTCATTGACCACGTAATCCCCAAATTTCCAGCCACAGTTAGATTATGCAGTGCGTTGGAATGAAGCTCAGGTCTCACAGTTGTTTTTTGCTGGTCGCTGGTGAAGTGCTCTGCCAACCCACCCGCTTCAGTAGTCTGCAGTTTTGGTGGTTCTTTCATCTTTCTCCCTTCTCTTTCCAAAGGTGGGTGGATGGCAAATTGGGATATTGAGTATTGACCACGTCCGTATCCAGTAGCATTGATGTCTTTAGTGATTTATTTTGCCGTGATTGAAATTGGTGGGAACTTTGATATCAATTTGGAGAGCAAGATCTGTGAATTACTTGGCTTTTGAAGTGTTTTGCATGGGAATCATACAAGATTGTAGTTGAGAGAGCGCTGTGTATCATACTTCTTTTTCCCTCTAGCAATACCTTTTTATTCCTTTTGAAGAGTTTTGCCTGGTATCCAACAAAGCTCACTGTATAAACAGCAGTGTAACAACTTTAGTATACAGCTGTATGTCAGACTGTGCTACCTAGTGATTTAATTCCAAGACCATCCGTACTAATTTGAATATGCATAATGCTGTGCCGAAAAAGAGATGTTTCCTGCATAGAAATTTACAATTTAAAAAGAAAACAGGAAAATAAAATTAGGTAGGGTAGGTGAGGCCAATCTGATTATGTGCTCAATTCTGAGACTAATGCACATGTTATGTGTGAAGGATGTTTTACTGAAAATGTTTTTGTACATGCGTGTGAATGAAATATGTAACTTTGCTTGTGTTTATATGGAACAAAATTGCTTGGAAATAATTCAGGGTTGGGTTTTTTCCCTTGCTCTCCCGGAGAGAGTTTCTTTGTAATTTCTAATAAAATAAAATAAAATAATTATTCAGAAATAAAAATCCTAAAGGCGTTGTGTGGATTTTTTGTTTGTTTTGAAGAATGGTGCTGTGAATCCAAAGCCTGGTCTTGGGGTTCTCTCTACCCTTGCGTGGGATGTGGAGTAGACCTTCTGCAGCCCTGAATAAGGTACTGAGATGATATCAGTGTTAATGTCACGACTAGGGAGACAAGAGTTGTTATTCCAGGATGTGGCCGGGGAAAATTGAAGTCTTATCTTTCATGGGTGCCAGTGCTAGTGAGCTGCAGAAATGGTACTAGAACCACAGT